TATCTGACAAACTAACTAGTAAGCTGGAGAGACTAGAACACTGCAGCACGTCTGGTTACTCGTACTCGAAAGAGAGGGCACATCGCACCTGTGCTATATTCATTGCACCGGCTACCTGTACGATACAGGTCGTGGTACAACATTTTGATGCGCACATACAAGGCACTGAATGGAACAGCTCCCCAGCACCTACAGGAGCTTGTTACCCTGTATTAGCCGTCACGATCACTGCGGTCGGAGACAGAATCATTGTTGTGTGTCCACAAATATCTTACTGTGACCTATGGAAACCGGTGCATTTTGGATTCGGCTTCGTTGTGGAATATCTTACATTCTGCTTTTAGAAAGTCAAATAACCTGGCCAAATTCAAGAAAGATATAAAGACCAACCTCTTCACGTCTGCAATTTAGGATCTTTGCACAAACGTCATGTACATACCACCCTTTATTCATTTATATGCACATTGAATGTATAATGGTGATTGTATGCCTTTTTTTGTTTATCAATTATAACTAATACTATTATCCATATGTTGTTAAGTGCTTTAGAGTAATTTTACAAATTATATAGGGCGCTATATAAACGTTGTAGATAAAGTAGTTTATAGTGTTGCTATAAGTGTTGCCTCTTTCAAAATTACGTTTCAAAATAAAAATGTATTTATAACTGTTGATAATTTACTAAAATATAACTTTTAACCGTGTGGACAAAAAAGAGGTAAATATACCTGGACGTAGTACTATAACACATAAACAGGTACATTTAAAAGTTTAAAATATCATATCATTTTGTAATTCGGATTGGAAACAGGCACAGCCTATACAAGCCTATCCTCGATATATCCAGAAAGGGGGGGGGGGGTTACGTTTACTTTCGCTCTCTAACCCCTGGATATCGAGGATGAAACAAGCCCTCCCCTTTTCATATCGAATAAAACAAAAGAAAAACAATACTGTTGCTATGATACCTTCCTGAGAAATGATGTTAGTGAGATAATATCAGGTTACTTGTGTTATCTATAATTGCTATCATGTCCGGGAGAGCACCTTGTAAGCTTTTTGAGAGTTTTCTGGCAAGGTGTACATAATGGTTTGTATATATGTGAGAAAGCACTCCGATCATAACCTTCTATTAATTCTTTATTACACATTTTACATACACTGACGTTGAGACAATAATCACTAACATGTGTTTACCTCATGTCTATAGGTAGTAATTAACGTGTCCAATTAAACACCACCCTTGCAAAGACCATACAACCTTACCTAGGCTCGTGCATGTAATTGAATGGAACTGTAATAAACATTATTATAGCACTAAGTCTATTGCAAATAGCACTCTAATCCTAGATAACAGTAACCCTTCCTTCGATCCAACAGAGGAAATGACATCTTCAGCACAGATGTACAATGTGTTTGTATGCTTATTTGGAGTTTTACGTCTTACACCAGCCAATTCGAAGACGCTTTACACAGACGGCCCCGCTACTCAAGCACAACTTTTGAACAATATCTCACTGAAGTGCTATCGTCTGGGCACGGTATCATAGTGCTACACTCGGTCACATTATACTGACAAAGGACAAACTTGAGGTACCTATTCAGACCCCATGACAAGAAAGTGTTGATGGGGAGGAAACAGGAACAAAGAGTTACAATGTCGACAGCAGATCAGTCCTTGTTTCTCCAACGCCCCACAAATGGATGACATATATGAAAACCCCAGACTTTACAAAGAACTTTGCATACGTCGCTATAGTTGTTTGGAATAGCAATTTTTGCACAAAAAAATGTGCAGGTAAATAGAATCTATCACTCCTGTGTGATGTAGACAGAGAAATAGAATCTATCCCTCCTGTGTGATGTAGACAGAGAAATAGAATCTATCACTCCTGTGTGATGTAGACAGAGAAATAGAATCTATCACTCCTGTGTGTTGTAGACAGGGATATCTCAATCAGAAGGTGAGATATTTTTTTAGGTTTAGCACGAGGCTTTGCTTTATATATGTCTGTCTACATCACACAGGAATGATTGATTATTTTTCTCCCACATTTTCATATCGTAAAATTACCTCCACTGCGAAATAAGTCCGTTGTCTGTGACGTAATAGCGCGTGTCAGCTGTCTTGATCGAGGTGGATCAAGACAGGTTTATCTTTTCCCTACCAAAAACGGGAATGTACCTGTGAAGTGTGGGAGAAAGTAAGTTCCAAAACCCCTATACCATAACATGTCTAAACATAACATTAGCGATCATGCGAGGACACATGCGACTGAAGTACCGTATGCCGCTGTTTGCGAAGGGATACGCAGTCTTTATACACACCGTATCTATATGCACAGTAAAACGGAACAACTATTGTGACACCAACCACAAGTTAAACGTTACCTCTTATCTGTCGCATGTGCATCCCACACATCACTAATGTATGGACTCCGTTGGTTCAATCAAATACACAGACACGATAATTAATTGATAAACATACATGAAATGTTGAGTTATTAAATTAAACCAATTTGGAAAGAGGTCAGACACCATTCTCATTACGGTCTAGCATTAATTACACACCTTTCTCTGCCAATCCTAATTACATTTGTACCTAGAGTATTTGTTTCTCGATGAAGATTGTAGATATTCCCGTGCAAATAGCAGCTCTGACTGGCGTTGTTATAATATTGAAAGAAAAATATATTCAAACAATAGCTTCACTCAAAATATAATAAGCGGATCTGGGTCACGGGACGGGTGTTTGGGAGGCTGTTCCTTGGGGTCAAAGACCTCCCCTTCCCCTTTGCAGAAAAATAAAATCTATAGCTTCTGGCGGACTTCACCCCCTGGCCCCACAATTTCTGTACCGGACTATATGCAAAAAGAATGAGTATTTAAGAGTAAACAAAACCATAAACCCAAACTCGAATTCCCTTATACTACGACAAAATATAACCAAGAGAAAAATGTTTGTGAACAACTTTGGAAAATAAACAGAGAAGACGATAAGGTGTTCCGGAAGAGTGGGCGTCTTTTGTTATTTCGACGACACCCACCATTGTAAATCTAGATCAAACCCATGGCATGCCTTCACAGTTAGAACATGGTAGCGACAGAAAATTATAAGGCACACCAAAGAACATATACAGATGATTTTCATATTGGTTAAAAAACAACTATTTTGATATGGAAAGTTATTCAATCAAAGATAACTATTTATCAAAGTTCATTAATACATTCAACAATCTAATTAAAATTGCATCTTCACACCGCTCCCGTTTACCGATATGTCGCGTGGAAACGGGAGCGATGTGGAGATATAATTTTAATTAGATTGTAAATACAATAATGTCCCAAAATTGTTATCTTAGGTGGTAGTAGAATTCAAATTCATCAGTCTTCAATTGGATATTCGTACTATATTTTATGTCATTAAGCATTAACGAAAGGACAAATACATTTTCGTGTTTATACTTTTTTAAGTATTAAGACGACTTACCACAGTGACAATTTATGTACATACAACAATTAAAAGGTTTGATTGACATTTGCCATGCTGGTGTTTGGACCAACAGAGATCTACTTCCTGTTTTGATTATTGATGTATTTGTCAAAGTAGGTTTAAGATATAAAGTCATATGATGGTCACATGTGTATATGATGCCGAGAAATAGAATGTACAAATTATCTGAGTTTGTTATTTAAGACTTAGATATAAACGGAGAAAATGTAACAGAGGTCAGCATGGTAGAGGGCAAATAGCAAAAACATTTGAAAAATATACGCAAGACGTTTCTCATCGATAGTAATAAAGCGCGAGTTTCAATTACTTTTTCTGCGGTTGTTGATGATAAGGGAATCGCCGAGTTAAAATGACGATTCATTTTTTTGTAGATTGGAAATGATTTTCACCGAAAAATGCATACAACTCCGAAACTTGTATCTTTTCAATATGGTTACCGTTAGAACAATTAACCGATTTTAAATGGTTATGAACTGTCTGGGTTGCATCGGATAATATGTACCTGCGGTTTTGTTGAACTAAACTCTGCTTAGTGCTTGAATGATGACTTTTGTTATTGTAAACAATACTTGGACCAAGGGAGATAACTCTTATCTTATTCGTAATGTGATAGTTTGTTTTCAAGCCATTTTCTAAAGCTTTTACTAATTGAGAGAACGTTAAACAACAAAGGTGTTTATCGAAATGTTGCCCCGACTCCTTTAATCTAAAGCACACCCGACAAATATTTTCATAACATTAGTTTTCCGCAAACTGATTTGAGGCGTGTAGCAGACTGTTAAACCAAAGGTGCAAATGGATTGTTTTATACAAAATGCAATAAACTTGATAATCTTGGTAAGAAATAAAGCTGCTTTCTTTTGGATTTTCAGTGCATTCCCTACGAACATTTGTAAATGATTATAAGGTGATACTTTGTCTAAAATTGTAAAAAGTTGAACTCGACAGCTGCTGGAATGCTTTACCTTAACTAGATGCTACTATGCGCTTTGTAAAAGGTGTGCGAGATTATTATTATTATGGGTGGTTAAACATGTGCGCTTTGTTATCAAGTCAACAGTGGACAACACCTAATGGCCGATATAGAACTGGAAATGAATCTACAGAAAGTATGCTATACATATCAGTGTAAATTCACTGCGTGACGGTCATACATAGTTCATAACCTCTAGAGTATATTATACAATATCTATAGTTTACAGAGTTTACTAGATTCACAGTACAAATGACTGTATGAGAGTATGTAACCCTGTTTTAGTTGATAGTGTTACAATATGTATATACAATGCTGCAATTCTAGTTTCTTTTAGTTGTAATTATAGTACAGTCTAGTAGAGTAGTATATTCACAGACACGTATATTGTAGTACAAGATGTAGAAGATTATTAGATTAAACAATGATATGCTATAAAATTGTGTCACAGACTAATCAATATTATTTATTTATGTCACTTTTGATATATTTCATATGCACGTAATTAGTTACCTGGTACACAGGTGTCGTGTTTATCAGACACGAAGTAGCCCTCCTCACAAAGACACGTGTCGTGGAGGCAGACACTCCTCCTGTCGATGTGTTGACACTGTGATGGATAGTAGCACACGTCTGTCAACATCAGCGGCCCTGTTAAAACATAAACGAAATATGTAACGACTGGATAGTGTGGTTCACATTTGAGATTATAGTATACTTTCCGACTAACATGTCTTCGGTATGTGTATACGTATACAACGCCAAACCTCTTTATAGCAGTATATATACACATACAATCACCATACTGTTGTCACGATGTACCATTCTCTAAACTTTGTTATCGAACACACGAACTATTCGCTATATTGCACGTTAATGCATGATGACTTTAAAAACCTAATGAATAGTAATTAAAGACAGAGCGTAAGACTACTACAGTGTATTACATAACTTCGGCACTTGTCTTATTTTTGTCAAGTTGACGCCCCTGGACAACCATTAAACAAATTAAACAGCACTGTCGACAGTCTTCTTAATTTCTTTATATCGTTCAGGACGTTTGAAAAAGCCCAGAAGATAGCTCAAATTGCTTTGTAAAATTTAGGCAATTAATTCATATAAAGTAAATGATATTTTCTATTTACATTATGAGTTTGTACATCTATCATGTACCTTATGATGAGGTGGAACTGAGAATTAGACTACATTAATTTTTTGACCGAAGGGTATTTCATCGTCCTACATTCCCAATATTCACTTTTATTTCTTATTTTGTTGCTTCATCAGGTTATAAATTCAGAATTTCTAGACTTACGAAGGACACAGTATTCCCCACGCTCAAAGGAATCGAACTCATCTGAGCAAGCACAGTACCCAGATTGACAGATCGAGTCGTAAACAGCAAAATAACAGTCTTGGTCGTCCTCACAGGAATCGCCAATGGTTCCTGAAACCAAACATAAAACGTAAAATGAATCGTTTCCAGTCAAATATAAAGGCTAAAACTATATTAGTTACAACAAATGATGCAATCCAATGTTTAGAAAATACCATAAGGTACTCTTTAAAGTGAGAATCAAGATGTAGGACCCAAATTGCAAAATGAACCGTTAAAAATATCAGGACTAACACTTTGTATATGAATTAACTTCAAAAGCAACTAACTTAGCTGACAGGAAGTGCCGTTGTCCCTTCCATAGTAGCCAAGATGACATTGACAGACATCCTGCCGACAGCTTGTTAGTGGTATTGCAGCCGAACAGTCTAATGAAGTCTTGCAATCGTCCATGATACGTCTTTTCACGCAGGAACTATTTCCGGATGTGACGTAATATCCAGGTGAGCATACACACGTTCCGTCGAAACACCTGCTGTCTTCTACGGCATCCTCACAATCGGAGTCATTTTGACAAGTTTCGTCGTAAACTTTTCTCAAAATACAATCTGACTTGAAAACATTTTCAAAATATCCAGAAACGCATGTGCAAACGCCATCTTTACAAAAACTATTGTTTACGGCTGCCGAACAGTCTGTTGCCGTGTTGCACGTCTGATCGCCGATCTTTCTTAAAACGCACCTTGTATTGTTCTGCCTTTCATGAAACCCAAGACGACAGCTACAAAATGAATTATTGAAGCATTCGCTGTCCATAACAGCAAGCTTGCAATCAAGGTCTAGGTCACATTCATCAAATATTCTATTTTTATCACATACTTGACCTCCGTCTAACACTTTATACCCAGTGTCGCAACCACAGAATCCTGACCTACATCCACTGTTATTTACAGAGTAAAAACAGTCGGAGTCTTGCATACACATGTCACCGATAACTCTTTGTTCACAGATGGTGCCATTGAGTTCGGATTTGAGTCCAGGCTCACAGACACAGGTCCTAGTGTCGTTGTCACATAGACTATTCGGTACAGCAAAGAAACAATCCTCCATATACTCGCAGACGTCACCAATCCTTCCTGTTATTAACACAAAAGGGTACATAATTAAACAGCAACAAATATTTGTATTGATGTATTGAACAAGACACCAAATAATTATCGAAAAAGAAAACGTTTGAATCGCTGAAGCAAAATTAACCGTCCATAGAAAAATGTATCTTAATTTTCTTTAGTCGATTTATGCTATTTTGCATCTTAATTCTGGTTTAAAACCACTCATATTTTTTTCATGTAAATTTGCGATACTCGTTTCATGTTAATATACCTACGTTTAAAGCATGAAGTACCGTTGTCTGAACTCATGTATCCTTGCTGACAAGAGCATTTTCCTTCCATACATTCACTCCTGACAATTGCATTCTCACAGTCTGAATCCTCTACACATGCGTCTGATATTCGTCTTTTCGTACAGGTATCATTGTCATTGTTACTAAGGTAGCCTGGGAAGCACTCACATGATCCACTTGAACAGTTACTATTCGCGACAGCCGATTGACAGTCCATTTCTACGTCACAACTATCTCCCACTTTACGTTTTGTGCATGTCGTTTTGTTGTTGTCTATAACGAATCCCGCGTTACATACGCACGTGCTATTGTCACATGAACTGTCATTGATAAACGTTCTGCAATCTTCGTTCCTCTCACACAACGAGTCTAGAGTGTGCATCGTACAGGTTGTATCATTTTTATCTTCGAAGAAACCAATGACGCATTTACAGGTTTGGTTATGACATGAGCTATTACCTATTTGAGTACAATCTAAATCACCATTACATTCGTCTAGGAGACCTTTAACGACGCATTGTGTCCAATTAGTATCGGGTTTATATATGGGGAGACAGGAGCATGTGTTATTAAGGCACTGCGTATAATTGACGACTGTTGCACATTGCAAATCAACCAAACATTGGTCCCCAAGGGTCATTAGAATACAGCCCGTGTTGTTCTCAACTGGTCTGTATCCAATGTCGCACTCGCATCGGCCAGATATATTACTGCATAGAGAATCATTCATAAATGTCGAACAGTCTATATCTTTATCACACGAATCTCCAATCTTTGACGGAAAACAATCCTTATCAAAGTGGTAGCCTGTCCGACATTCGCATATGCCACTGCCTCCACATATACTATTGCCGTTCAGTCCAAAACGGCAGTCCTTGTCCTCATCACACGGGTCTCCATGACTGATAAGTCTGCAGTCTGTTTGATTTACCATCGCGATATAACCACTCTCTTTGTCGCAAAGACAGAAGCTATGTTCCCCACAGAAACTCATTTCCATCAAGAAGCTACAGTCAATGTGCTGACTACAGGTATCGCCCAACATGTTCCTGATGCAAGACGTATTGTCTGGTGCCGCCCTGTAACCATAGTCACAGACACAATGTGGCCCCCTACCACACTGGCTGTTCAAAATGTCGACACAGTCGTCAAACTCTTGTCCTCGTCTGCACTGTTCCCCAAGCTTTAGATTTGTACAGCCCTTGCCGTTGAACTTTAACCTGTAACCCGATTCACATCCACACTTCTCATCAATACATGTACTGTGGTTCATTACCCTGTCACACTGTTGTGACGTCTCGCAGTTGTCGCCGATCACTAAAGGTATACAGTCATCACCGACAAATTTACTCTCGTAAATTACGTCATCGGTTAGATTGACCTTGATGATGGCATTACGTGTGATATTCACCTTAAAACCAGTGTCACACTGACATCGGTTATCAGGTCCACATATGCTGGAACCAATCGCCAATCCACATGCTTCATTGGAAACGCAAACGTCACCTATTCCAAGAAGAACACAAATTGTGCCATCTTCACTTGCTTGGTAACCTAGTTCACATTCACACGTTTGATTTCCAGTACAAACCGATTTGTTCACTGCAGACTTGCACTCTAAGTTGAAAACACACGAATCGCCTAAAATCAAACTAACGCAAGTATTATTAGAGTTATCGGCCTTATATCCAACATTACAACCACACACGCCGTTGTCGCCACATAAACTGTTATTCATGGTATTTGTACAGTCAGTACGTTGATTGCATGGGTCTCCAAGTAGGATCTGATCACATGTGTTGCCTTTAATATTTGATCTATATCCTGGCAAACATGTACATCTATAATCCCGATTACATGTACTTTGCTCAATAAATGAGCTACAAGCTTCTAGGTTTGTGCAGTTATCGCCTATTTTTATCCTTAAGCATGACGCATTTTCGCTATTATACATATATCCAGCTTCACATGTACATATGCCCTCGCTGCTGCATTCACTGTTTTTGATGGCAAACTTACAAGCTTCATCTAGATTGCAAGCATCTCCTAGAGTCAGAAGAATACATCTCGTGCCGTTTTCTGCGTCATGGAATCCATACGGTGAACATTCACACTGCTTTACATCGTTACACACACTGTTTCCAATAGCATGTTCACAATCCTCCAATACAGAACAAACATCGCCAATAGTCCGCAATACACAGGAAGACATGTTTGGAAGGTTGTAGTAACCTAACGCACATGCACATATGTTATACAGATTACACCAAGTATTATTTAGACCAGCCTCACATTCCGAGTCGACTGAACAGGAATCACCCAGACCAATGCGGATGCAACTTGTCGGATTATCATTTGTTTTAAATCCCGCTTGACAGACACAATTACCGGCGAAACAATGACTATGCGTTACCCCTAGCAAGCAATCCTCCTCGCTATTACAGTGGTCTCCGATGGCTTTCCATACACAGCGTCCTGTAACATTGTCCATCTTCTTACTGATGTTACAAATACAAGATCCGTTCTCGCATCGCGTTCCATCAATGGATGCAAGACATTCTAAGTCGTCAGAACAATCATCAAAAAGCTCAATTTGAGTGCAAGTAAAGTTCTCCATTTTGAATCCAACTTTACAATTACAAACTGAACCATTGATGCAAACGCTGTCTGGAATATGATCAGAGCAGTCTTGGTCAAATAAACACGGGACCTGTTTTAAGTCACATTTGGAATAGTTATTATTCGGTATGAATCCAGTTTTACATACACACTTGCTGCTATTACTACAAACGCTGTTGTTTACGGCAGTGATGCATTCATCAGAAGATTTACAATCACCGCCTATCAGGATATTAATACATCCGGTTCCGTTAACATCAATAGTGTAACCGGAAGAGCATATTAATTCATTTACATTGGTACAATTCGAACTATTATCATCACAAGTATAATTTATGTTATTTATAGATGAATTAAAGGCTGTAAGAAGATCATTGTCGTTTTCTAATATAACTCTAACGCATTTACTATCGTTGGACTCCAGAATGTAGCCAGTAGGACATCCGCACAGAGAGGACCTACACTCACTTCCGATTATTATCTCCGAACAGTCCGAGTTATTCGTACATGATATTACATTGAAACTAAGATCTGTTTTATTTGAAGACATGTTTAACATTTTACTATCAAATTCTTCTGATGTTTGATTGGAATTGTTCGATATTCGTACACAAGACCCATCGCTGTCCTCGCGTCGATATCCGGGATTGCATGTACACAAGTTCAAGTTAGAATCACATAAGCTGTGTGGAATGATTGAACATTGGGTATCATGTGTGCAATTTTTGTAAATGGAATTCCATACACATCTATTTTCAGTTTCATCTTTTTCGTACCCGGTACCGCAGTCACATATACTCTGATTCAAACAGACGCTTGACTCGATAGTTTCCCTACAGTCTGTGTCTGTGAGGCACGGACTCCCAAACTGACCTGGGGAGATAGACAAGACAGAAAAATATGAAATTAAATGACACTGCAAAGATACTATAAATAGACATGAAAATGTACCTGGCATAATAACGAAGACGTAAAGAAAACTTCATGTAAAGGGGACTAACTCAGTGAAGAACAGTAAAACCAATGCCGTTTATCATTACAAGTAAGAGGGACTAACTCTTCCTTCATTCCTGAACTGTCAGAATCACAATGCTTAACAAATGTTATCAACACGAGCATTTCACGCAGTGTCAGCATTGATACATTGGATGAATTAGATGAAGAGTGTATGTAAAGACAAAAAAAATAAAAAAAGAAGATATTAGACAATAAGAAGGTATGTAAGTGTGTAATGTACGCTAGATTAATAAGACATCGGTCATGTCAACACTTTGGTATCTTTTACAACAGGCTAATTAGTTCAATCATGTGACTAACGAGAACAATTATTTCTTTGTCGTTAAGAAAAAAAATATCTTCTGGTCAAATATAGAAATTCATTATTTCCCTCTTTATTTTCTTATCAACGTCGTATAATCTCTATTTCTTATCGGTTCTATGAAGATAAAGGAATTATTACTTTTGCATTTTTACCAATTTTATTCATTAAAGGATAAAACACTGATTATTGCCACTCATACAAATCTGCTATTTGTTCCTCGAGGCTCATTTTAAAAGAAGTGATTATTTCAATGTCCTGAAAATGCATTGCTTCCACAAAATTGTAAGCACAAATTATATTCTACTGAAAAGAATTAAGATTTCGATTTTTTTAATCAAAACCTTAGTCATATTTTTTTAGAAACGTATCACAGTTCTTTACGAAGTGTATGCATAAACAAATAGAAGTACGTCTAGGTTTCCGTGTTAATTCATGCTGACACTGTAGGATAGAAGATGCGACCGACATGTCTTAATTTACATGTATTCTCCCACCAAGTTTTCCAATGAAGACAGGCAAACATTTCGGATGGAATAATTGATTTCAGCTCATGTATTTGTAGTCTGTTTTCTAATTTTCATCCGTATACATAGTTATTATAGGAAATAAAAGAAATAGATGTGTCTGTTACCACTTTGGGTACGCATTAAAATAATAAAATCAAAATGAGCTCACGTGGTAGACATGCTGAGTGTTGGTCGTTCGGAACGTGACCAGCAGCGCATTGACATTGTCCATCTTCACATGTAGAATTCGGTAGAAATACGTCACAAGAGATGGTTGTAAAATGTGTACAGTTGTCACCAAGTCTCATATCTGCGAATTGAAAAAGAAATAATGAACTCTTTATGATAATTAAAAAATATGAAAACCAGATTGCCACGAAGAAGACTGGGAAAACACATAAATTAATCCTGTAATTGAATGAATAACAAGGCTATTGAGCCATACGGGTCAGATACCCGATACTATATTTATAGGGCCGATGGTCTGTTAAATAGTTATATAGCAATACGTACGATATTGAAGGATATACATATAGACAGATGTATATATGCAGAGTTGAGGGGCTCCGGTCGATCTGTGACGACTCTAACAAGCTTTATTAAGGCTATTGAGCCATACGGGTCAGATACCCGATATATTATATTTATAGAGCCGATGGTCTTAATGTTAACTAGTTCTATAGCAATGATTTTGATATTGAAGTATGCAGAGTTGAGGGGCTCCGGTCGATCTGTTACCACTCTAACAAGTTATGGATACAAGGGATGCGTGTAAGAGAGGACACATCGATTTACAAGAACAGGTTTGAAAATTGGGTTGTCTAGATTATTTAATTTTCTGCTCAAGAAAACAGGTCAACCAGTGTCATACCGAGCATGCATCACATTATCAAATAGGTTAAGGCTGTAAGGGAGAAAACAGCGTTTAGAATAACTTAAAGTCATTGCTTACCGATCACAAAATTTTGAATAATCCTTCATTATGTTAAAACCGAGGATAGATCGGATCCATTGTACAAATGTACATGTATAACATTGAAATTATCAACATGAGTACTATTTTGGGGGGTTCATATTATAGGCAGGCAAATTGTACCTTCATCGTACTTTCCGTCTGGACAATCATTGACCCCGTCCTTGACCTTTGATTCTGGAATACATGATCCATCCACACAGGTGACCTCTCCTTCCCCACATGCTACAGCCAGACCTGAAAAATGTAGGAATTGAATATTAATTTTTGATTGTTAATATAACGTTCCATCAAACAACCATGTTATATCTCTCTACAATGTCTGCAAAGCTCAAACAGAAAGATGATAGTTAATGTCGGTTAAACAAATAAACGAAACAATCAAGTAAAAGTGATGGAAGGGACACAACTAGTGTGTTCCTATGTTCAATAAATCAACCCCTCAGAAATCGTGTTAACTTATTACTGCTTTGAAGTTTCCTTTGTTTGTTTATAAAGAAGTTATTACGATAAACAAGAAAATGTTGGCTCTGTTATTCATAGATAGAAAGCTTACAAAAATAAACACGTCAATTTCCCGTAAGCCCATTGGCGCCAAACCCGACCATGTAATCGACTAGGCCTATATACATGCAGTATGTAAACATAGAAAAGTTATATGTGTCGATTCCGGGCAGAGAGATCGATGCTTCTTTATAAAATGTATAGTATTTCATCGTTACAACATAAGACAAACACTTATAACATTTATGTATGAACATTTTAATCATGATTCACATTTGTGTTCCTAACGCGTGTTCTTGCATTCTTACATAGCTCTTACTACACTTCACCTACGTTCTTACAGTACACAAGTTGTATTGATATTTATATATTTTTTCTGTTAAAATTGCACCATAAATACTTTCTCGGTACCTTTTGGTGGCTGTTACTTTTTTACTTGGTACTCGCTTCCAACCGATCACCCCCTCCCTTTTTCGTGAGAATAAATCACACTTCTCTCTAATTGCTCCCGTTTCGAGAGGACTCGTGGCATGCTAAGAAAACCATGATATACGGACTTTAAAACAGATGTTACAGATATAGGCAAGTACAGCTCTTCTCCAACCTTTATATTGGAAAGTTGCACTTAAACCATAAACTATCAGGATTTTAAAGCGAAGGCGGTTGAAAGCGACGGATTGTTTTATGAAGTAATTTCTGCTTTCTGTTTGAAGAAGATGCTTAATGGATAGTGTACTCTGTGAGATGTGCATCCTTCCTCTAGTTTCTGAATAAATATTGTGAATACCTATAACATTTATGAAATTCAATTTACTTAATGGCGAAGTATGATTAAATGCGGTGTTTTTCGCATGAAAGCTAATACATTTTTGATGGTAAAACGCTAACCAATTTTTCTGTGTAGTTATACCGAAGAAACATTCGTTTGAACACAGGACACAATTTAGCAATGGAATGTCACTCTCCCTATTAAAATACTAATGGCTGCTTCTGGGTAAAGGCACGTCATATTGAATGGAGTCTGAATTCAGATAATGGAGGTTCAAGGGATAAATAGGAACTCTTTTGAAGGTTTTGATTTTTGCACGATAGTCGATACGTCATCAGTTGAAAAATCTATTAACGAAGCGGAAGTACAATATCATGAATTATATTTAGGATATCTCAAAGGTCATCGGTCGGTGTTCAAAAATTCATACGTTTTCAGTAAATTCATGATATTTTATTGGTCATGAGTCAGTGCACGATATTTATTAAGTCATCAGTTCATGCTTGGCGCGATATCGATATTGTCAAAGGTATTTTTTCGCTCAGCGACTTGTTTTCGAAGAAGGATATCGAGAAGTAACATACGACGTAGGTCATGACTTCAAACAATCGTGGTCATCATCGTTACTTCAGTGATAACGATGGTATCTCTTCAGGAAAATTATATTTTGATTTGGTTACAAAATAACATTTTTTTATCAGAATTCTTTATCGTTTAAGTATTTCATCGTAATTTAATCGTCGCCTTATATCAATTTTGACGTGAAGGTCGCGAAAAATTCCTGATTCTCAAAAACGTACATTGACCTCTACAAAATACAGTTATAAATGTACTGCGACAAAAATCTCAATATCTCCCCATCACGGGTAAAAAAACAGAATCAAGCGTTAAGACACGCTCATTGGGCAGACATAATATAAATAGCATATACATGTACATCTTATCTCCTGAAGTTCCACAACAGTCTAGATCGTAATATCTTCGATATACGTTTCTCCTCTTGCGATATCCGATTTCTATCACGTACGCACTTCTGCAATGACTACACAACATCTTCCTCCGTATAAACACTTCGTATTCCTCTTCCATGTATTCCTCTGTAACCTCTAACCCCACGGGTACCCCAACACTATTCTAACATCCACAAACATCAGAACACAGATCCTCTTTTTCTTCTCTCACTGCTCGGATACGTACTNCCCCCCCCCTCCCTCACATTTCCAACTCATGATTTGAACCCCCTCTAATTTCCCCCTACCATTTCTCTCGGTTTGTTTATATCTGTTTTGAGATTGTTTATGAGAACCTACCACCTAAGTAGTAACTGATACATGACAGGTGTTACTCAAGCACGCTCCATCCTATCTCCCCACCGACCATTATCACGTGTCAGCTCAACTACAGGTACAGATTAATCTGCACAGAAATATCAGTTTCATCAGTGTACTGTACAGAAATACCAATATCATCAGTGTACTGTACAGAAATACCAATATCATCAGTGTACTGTACAGAAATACCAATATCACCAGTGCACTGTACAGAAATACCAATATAATCAGTGTCCAGTACAGAAATACCAATATCACCAGTGTACTGTACAGAAATACCAATATCATCAGTGTACTGTACAGAAATACCAATATCATCAGTGTACTGTACAGAAATACCGATATCATCGGTGTTCTGTACAGAAATACCGATATCATCAGTGTACTGTACAGAAATACCAATATCACCAGTGTACTGTACAGAAATACAAATATCACAGAAACACAAATATCACCAGTGTACTGTACAGAAATACCAATGTCGCCAGTGTACTGTACAGAAATACCAATATCACCAATGTACTGTACAGAAATACCAATATCACCAGTGTACTGTACAGGAATACAAATATCACCAGTGTACTGTACAGAGAGTGACGTCTCGCCCAGTATCAGCAACTTAAAAACCAGATTGTCATGATCCACTAACAAACATTTCATTTACTCATATTCTTCGCGCAATATTGAATATAGAATGGTCATGCACAAAGTCGATCTATGAAGTCACTACTGTTTAAATATTTTCACTTTGGGTACGTATAACTCAAGTCTAGCTCTAAGGCGTCTATAGTAGCTGTTGTTTTACTACAAAAGTTCACTGCCCTTAAACAAAGTCAGGCCAACAATATCTTCATGTCTTGAGAAGGCAGGAGAAAGAACGTTATCCTCGATATGGGACTGTTACTTCTGATGCAGCACTAGGACTTTCTTGGACAATGCATCGTTCAACTGATATGCCACTACTGAAACACCATTCATATCATCAACAAAGGATGTCAAAGTGCACTTGACTTTGAAAATAGTCTTCCTCTGTTATTGGAGAGATCGACCAAAGGCAATAGGTGGTGCTCAATATATATTTAGTTTGCTAGACAAGAGGCTTATTTACATAACTTACAAATGTAGATACATGTACACTGTATAGCGTGAAGGGGACATCAAAATAAGGATACAAACGTGTTCTTGTTGGCGACACATCTGCGTTGGAACAGAAAATAGGCATTCGATTCGGAAAGCACATTTGACAGTTAAGGCCTTCGTCATAAGGTGTTACTTGCTTTTCAGTGTTTTTCTTGAGGAAAATGTATGCAAGAAATCTAATCTTTTAATGAATAAGCATCTACTGATATGAAGAAAAAAAATCTTTACTTGTAATGTGTAGTACAGTACTGTCCTAAAAGCAGCATAGCCAATAGTTCCCAGTTACGTCGATGGAAGTTCAAGCTCACACGGACCGAGGCAGAAAAGTGTCTTCCTTCTAGATAAGCCCCTAAACAAGGGGTCGTGTGTTCAGAGTACATGTGAAAGGCTATGTTTTGGAACACTGATGACGTCACTCGCCCTGTTCGTCTATCGCCTACAGTGTTTAGATGGTGAGATGTAAATTATAATGACGTTCTAGTGATAGCGTAATTACCCCCTCCACCCACTACCGTGATTGTATTGAGTATGTTCTCAGCGGTTAAATACACAGCTGAAGCGTTGTGTTGTTTTGAGTATCTGTGATACAGGTGCCGTTAATTTAATGTCGAATATTTTAGTACCTGTATTATATATTTTTTTTAAAAGATACGATTGATGATTTCGTTTCCTAATTCAATGATTTGATGACAACAAATATTACAATCTATGTAATTAAGAACCTAAAGTCTTAAATGAAAAAGTTATCCATCCTATATGCTAGTATTAAAACAATATGACAACAATTGCTAACATGTTGATGACGTCACAAAAAGGAATCAGTATAAACTTATAACTGGCTTCCCAGTCCTCATTGTTTGATACTAGTAAAATGGTTAAATATCGAAATAATAGGAACAATCAGAGACGTATTTATACGTCTCTGGAACAACTAGTATTTAAGCATACACGTACAGGACATATTGATATTACAGGCAGACACTATAGATATAGCTGGAGAAATCAGTAATAAGGGCCTCATACCGGGGATATATACATACATTCTTGAAGTGACTGACCTCTGTTATTAACCATCATAGTCATTCTCAATATCATTAGACATTTGCTTAATCTAAATATGCTAATGAGATGCACGGTGCCTCTGCCGTAGAGGAATATGTTTGTCGTTTGTGATAGACATGACAAGATCACAGTTACGTGTACTGTACAGTATAAAACGTAACCGTTATATTGATAACATCGTTTCATAACCTGATTTTATACATGTACACGTGGATTACATGCCAAGATTTTTACTGATGAAAAAGAACAGCTGCTTTCACACAATGCCATCAGTGTGAAAGGCGGGGCAGAGGGTGGGCGCGTCCCTTACTAAAGAAAACCATTAATTACATTGTTTCCCAAACAAGCGTTTCCATAGAAACTAAACCCAATTTGAAGCATGTTAAAAAAACCAGCAAAAAACCTATACTATCTTCAACGAAGTACTTTTA